TGCCAGCAAACCTGCTCCAGCGTGGGCTCCTCTCTCCAAGAGTGCGCAGGTCCTGCCAGGAGCCTGCTCAAGCACGGGCTCCCCACGGGGTCACAGCTTCCTTTAGGCATCCACCTGTGCCAGCGTGGGGTCTCTTCCCTGGGCTGCAGGTGGATCTCTGCTCCACCGTGATGTCCATGGGCTGCGGGCGAACAACCTGCCTCACCATGGTCTTCATCATGAGCTGCAAGGGAACTGCGACTCTGCTCAGACTTTTTGGGTACCTCCTCCCGCTCCTTCTTCACTGACCTTGGTGTCTGCAGAGTTGTTCCTCTCAGTCTCACTTGTTTCTCATTACCCACCTGTTTCACCCCAAGTTTGGTTTTTTATTTTTCTCCTTCTTAACTATGTTATCCCAGAGGTGCTACCACCATCGCTGACTGGCTTTGCCTTGGGCAGCAGCGGGGCCGTCTTACGGCAGCTGGCACTGGCTTTATCAAATATGGGGGAATCTTCTGGCAGCTTCTTCCAGAAGCCACCCCTACAGCCCCCCTGCTACTAAAACCTTGCCACACAAACTCTTAACAGTGTGTTTTCAAAATAGGTAAGTATTAATTCTCTGAAATCAAAATATTCTGTGTCAAGAAAAGTGGACTTGACATATGAGGGCTCGGTTTGTGTATTCGAAGTTCACAGTTTGTCAGTCTGCTGTAGGAAGAAGACTCCTTATCCTCTCTGCCTCCCACTTTTTAAGCAGCTTCTGTAGCTTCCATGTAAATACTGTAAACCGAGTCTCTCTGCTTTGTTTTTTCATTGTCTTGTTTCTTCGTTTTCCAGAGGTGCTCAAAATCATGTGACTCTTACAGGCAATTTCTATTAATTTCAAAATGTGTAGCCCATTATAGATGGTACACGATGGCTGCGTTTTCATGTAGGCTTGTCTCAAGACTAATGGATTTTGTACTTCAAAAATACATCTATACACAGGCAACCAGCAGCTAAATAATGCTTCTGTGAGTGTTACTCTACAGTGAAATGTGGATCAGGCAACACAGTTCAATTGCTTCATCTGTTGCTAAGTAACTCCATTATCAGACTGCTGGGCAGAAACAGAGAAAGAAGAATTTATGTTCTGATTGTTTAATATACTAGGCATTTCACAGAAAAATAGACCCTTTCCTTTCTTTGAAATGCTGATTATGCCATGGTAATAAGTGAAAGCTGCAAATAATAAACAGGTACAAAGAATGCGTGAGGAAAAAGTTAACATCGCAAGGCGAACTTAACAACACAAGGTGGTTGTTGTTTACATAACCGTTTATGACTTGTGTCTCTTCAAAATATGTTTATTGTTCCTTTGTCCTCTGAATGGAAGAGTAATTGTATGCAAAGCCTCTTTTCTGAAGCATACTGGCCGAATTGGGAACCTAGTGGAAAAAAAAAAATAAATAAAAAAAAATTGCAAGAGCTGGAAGTGTGCCAGTATGTTGAGCTGTCTTTCCTTATCTGTCCCCAAGCAGTCTGATACAATCAAATAACCTCACAGAAATTCAGTGTAAATGGAAGAACAGACTATGACTCAGTCCAGGCAAAAGTGGGAAATTTCCTAGCTTCTTGGCTGAGTGTAGTTGGACTTGTTCTTTTATGGTCGTGGCTGGAATTGAATGCTAGGGGTATAACTTTCACGTTTGCCTCATATGAGTGATTAATGTGAATGAAGCTGGTGGAAGATGAGTTGGTTAATTTCATTGTTAACTTTCTAGCAACCCCTTTTTTGTCCTGCCACCCCAGATCGACAGTACATAGCTTCAGCTGCCAGATCAGAGAACTGCTCCGCACTAACGTGCAGTACTCTTACTGAGACAGAGTGCAGCTGTGCTTAACCTGAGTTGTCAAGGAAAATTAACACCTTTAATTGCAGCCTTCCCTAGAGTAATGGAGCCCTAAAAGTTTTTAAATGTTTAACGACTTCTTCCTAGAGAGATGCAGAAGAGGTTTGTGAGTACAGTGCACCCTAAAAGAAGGCCTGCCCTCAGAAGTAATTTTGTGCAAGCAGTGTGTAAACTCCATTTCCTTGTTGTGAATTGAGTAGGCCTAGAATTGGGAGCTCATTTTAGAGATGGGAGGAACCTTCTCCACTTAACTGTGCTGATTT